CATGTTAGAATCGGATGTCGCTCGAGCGAGTATAGTGTCGCTCAAGTGAAATACAACCCGAGACTTCACAATCTTAAAATATGGTTGTATATGATAGCGGTTCCACTGGAACCGCTATTACAAACCACTTCTAATAGCGGTTAAACCTTAACCGCTATCTCATATGCACTTAAGATAGCGGTTAACATGGAACCGCTATTATATCCACTCAATTATGATCGATCATTTCAAATTATGATCGATCATAATTAAAACTTATATTAACTATTTTTTTGAATATTATGTTTTTAAATTCGCTATTAGAGAAAACCTTTCGAATTCAAAATGTTAAATACTTTTAAATATTAAAATTAACTTTATCAAAAATTAGGAAAAAAAATTAATCCAAAAGAGTTCAAAAATGTATTATAATATTCTCAATTTTGAGTTTAATTATATTGTTCATTCTCAAAGTAGAAAATTATATTGTAATTATTTTAATTTAATAAAATATAATTTAAATTTTTAATACTCAAATTAAAAGATTAAATAATAATGAATTTAATTCTTTAAATTGAGTATTTGGAAACTAAAATTATAGTTTCTCTGTTTTAAATAATTAAGATAAATAGTTAAAAATAGAAATCAAAACTAGTATTATCTTCAATTTATTAAAAGTGTAATTAAATCTCTATTTTCTTAATTTTTTTTGTTTCAAAATTCTCAATTCTACATTTTTGTAACTTCTATCATTATATTATCATCCTCATCTCCTCCCATGTTCAACTTTATCTTTACAATAGTCAATATTCTTAAATAATTTATATTTTTAATTATAATTTTTTAGTATATATTTAGAAATTAATCAATTCTAATCTATTATTTGAAAAACTAATCAATTCTAATCAATAATTTAGAAAACTAATCGATTATAATTAATTATTTGAAAAAATTATCAAATATGATCGATCATTTTGAAAATCTAATCGATCAGAATCAAAAAATCTGGTTGTATATGATAGCGGTTAAATCTTAAAAGAGCACTTCTAATAGCGGTTAAATCTTAACCGCTATCTAACTATATTTTATTTATTTATTGATACATTTTTTCATCGGATATCGCTCGAGCGAGACTATAGTCGCTCAAGCGAAATATAACCCGAGAATGCCAATTTTGTGCAAGGGGCGTTTCGCTCGAGTGAGACCATTGTCGCTCAAGCGAAATACATTTTAGATAGCGGTTCCACAGGAACCGCTCTTAAAAGCGAACTTATAATAGCGGTTAACCCTTAACCGCTATCTAAATTATAGTTTAGATAGCGGTTAACGTGGAGCAGCTATCATATCTTCTCAATTATGATCTATCATTTCTAATTATAATTGATGATAATGAAAACTTACATTAACTATTTTTTTGAATATTATGTTTTTAAATTTGCTATTAGAGAAAACCTTTCAGAATTCAAAATGTTAAATACTTTTAAATATTAAAATTAACTTTATCAAAAATTAGGAAAAAAAAATTAATCCAAAAGAGTTCAAAAATGTATTATAATATTGTCAATTTTGAGTTTAATTCTATTGTTCATTCTCAAAGTAGAAAAATATATTGTAATTATTTTAATTTAATAAAATATAATTTAAATTTTTAATACTAAAATTGAAAGATTTCTATTGCATGAGGTTTCTTCACTTAAAAGATTTTGCAAAATGCCTCTAAAAATGTTTTTAACAATTAAAACACAAATTATTTTGACAAAAGCTTTCTCAAACAAGTTTTTAAGCTGATCAGACTTTGATAGAACCGATTAAAATTACTTAAAATGTCAAGTGAAATGTTTTTACAATATTTTAATTGATACAACTTGATTTTAATCGATTAAAACCACTTAAGGGTTCAAGATGATCGATCGAAATGCAGATTATGACCGATCAGAATCAGTTATGATCGATCAGAATTTAGTTATGACCAATCAGAACTATTTTAATCGATTAAATCTCGTTTCAATCGATTAAAATAACTTAAAAATTTCTACACAGCGTTTTAATCGATTAAAACTTATTTTTATCAGTTAAAATAACTTGAAAAGTTTTACAAGAAAGTTTTGCAGTATTTCAATCGATTGAATCGCGAAACAATCGATTAAATCAACTTAGAAGATTTTTTGTAAAGTGTTTTAATTGATATAAGCGTTGTCGTATCAGTTAAAACAAATCTGTTAAAGAATCAAGAACGTATTAATGGATTAAAAGAAGTTTTAACAGATTAAAACTGCACTTTTAACAGATTAAAAGAATCTTTTAACAGATTAATTAAACCAGCGAGTTTTGAAAATCTTCTATAAAAACAGTTTGGCTTGAACTATTTTAACATACATTGAATATCATCTTTTACACATCCTTGAGCAATCAATCAAGCAAACTTCAACACTCTTTTCAAGAAAGATTCGCATCAGTTTTTGAGAAGTTCTTTGAAAATCTTTCTTGAGGCAACTTGATTTCTTTTGAAGAAGAAACACTTACAGCAGAATTGCATAAAGCTGGTTTGAGCATTCTAGTTTCATCTTTTTCATTTCTTTACATTCTTTTTGTACTTGTTTGGTGCACTGGAATTTGGGCACTTGGTTTCTCTCATGTTGGAATTTGGTTGTAGAGGTTATTAAGAGCTGGAATTTGGTAATACGAGAAAACATTTCAGAAAGCAAAATGTTAAATACTTTTAAATATTAAAATTGACTTTATAAAAAATTAGGAAAAAAAAATTAATCAAAAAGAGTTCAAAAATGTATTATAATATTTTCGAGTTTTAGTTTAATTATATTTTTCATTCTCAAAGTAGAAAAATATATTGTAATATTATTTTAATTTGATAAAATATCATTTAAATTTTTAATACTAAAATTAAAATATTAAATAATAATAAATTTAATTCTTTAAATTTAGTATTTAGAAACTAAAATTATAGTTTCTCTGTTTTAAAAAATTAAAATAAATATTTAAAAATAAAAATCAAAACTATTATTATGTTAAATTTATTAAAAGTATAATTAAATCTCTATTTTCTTCAATTTTTTAATATAAATTTTTAAAATATAATTTAATTTCAATTGAAATTTTCAATTGAAAAATAAATTCAAGAATATTTGTTATTAAACTTTTCTTAAACAATGTATTGAATAGTTAACATCACTCTAGTCTTAATTTATTACAATTTAAATTTTTAATAAATTTGATTTATTACAATTCATTTTGTTAATATTGAGACCAAAGTTTATTTTTAAAGTATATTTTAAAAATTAAAATATTTTTAAAAAATAAATTACTTTTAAAAAATAAATTGTAAAAAATATACTAAAACAATTAAAGTATATTTATAAAAAAAATTAAATATAACAAAAAAATAATATTCATTAGCGATCGATTTCAATTTGGTCGCTATTTTCTCATTAGCGATCGATTTTAATTCGGTCACTATTTCAATTTGTAATTCGGTCGCTAAATCAGTTCGCTAAATGATTTTTTTATTTCAGTATGAAAATAGCCACCAATTTAGCGACTAGAAATTTTGCGACGCAAAATATTGGTCGCTATTTCGATCGCTAAATAAAAAAATGCAAAATAAATCATATTTTGGTCACTAAATCGATCGCTAATTGCAACCGAATTAAAGTGGTCACTGAATCGGTCGCTAATTGTGACCGAATTAAAGTGGTCGCTAAATCGGTCAGCTAATTGCGACCAAAATTAAAGCGGTTGTTAATTGCGACCGAAAAAATTCGGTCGCTAATTTCGGTGGCTAAATGTGTTTTTTCTTGTAGTGTTTCTAGAATATTTTCCCAACATGCTTTCATTTGAGTAAGTATCTATTTGATTCTAGTAAAATAATCCTTAATGGTCTTGGACTCCTTCATACTTAATAATTCAAACTCACATATTAGAGTTTGAAGTTTAATGGTGCGTATCTTTAGACTTCCTTAAAACTCTTCCTATAGTGTGCTTCTTTAGCATCCATTATTCTTAGAAATTGTATCAACTACAACTTGTTATAAAAAGTATAATGTCATTGAGTCTTTTTGTTTGTTCTCTTTCGACTCCTTCTTCTGAGTTGTTGTTAACATAGAAACATCTGTAGGAGTAATGAAGTCATCTTCTATAATCTCTCATAGATCTTGAAAGAAAAAATATGTCTTCATTTTAATGCTCCAAAAGTTATAATTTTCTCCAATGAAGATAAATAGAGGAATAGATGAAGAAGGATTGACATAAGTCATTAGTTGAAATTTGTATGAAATATAGTAAGATTTTTTTAAGATAGTTTGATTGTATTTATGCCCAATAGATAATCGAACATAACTCTAATACCACTGTTAGTATTTTAGGAAGAATAAGAAAGATAATTTGTTGTTTAGTAATGAGGTTTTGGTAGAAAATAGTTTTTAGAAAAAAGTAGACAAGTAGGAGAATATTTGTATACAAGAAGATAATAATTAATCTTAGAAGTATTTCAAAATATGAAAGAGATTGTATTAGTTTTTTGCACACACATTATTACACTAGTAAGATTACCTTTTTATAGGTTTGATGCACAACCTTCTAAGTAGTTTATAATATTCTAGATTTTCTTAGCTCTAAGATTATATATCTTCTATTTTTAAATACTTTTAGAATATTCTAATAATTTTAGTTATTACTTATATGAATTTTCTAATTCTAGTTGTATCTAGGACTTTATTTTCTACCTCTTTCTACAATTTATATCACCTTTCAACATGAACTAAAATCTTTTTTGTTTTTTCAAATTTTAACAAAAATGTGGTTTGTTGAACAAAAATTAATGAATCATATAATTAATTTTAGTTATAAGAAAATTATATTTTTTTCTAAAAATTTTATTAAAAAATTTGTCCAACTACTTTTTTTTTATCTTTTAATAAAGCAGAGAAGATAACTTGGCAAAAAGTGGTCCAATATATTATAACTTTCTCATTCAAAATAAAAGAATCACTCAAAATTTGTTTTAGGTGTCCCTAACGATGGTTCGGCCGGTGCTGCTGCAAAGCATGAAGAGGAAAATCATCGGAAAAGACATGATGCAGTTAAGGGCAATGAGGAAGAAAAGCTATTGGATGTGGAAGTAGTGAAGGGTGCTTATGACTACTTCAACACGTTTAAAAAACTCGTTGTCGATATGATCTTCAGCTTCCAAGAACTCAATATCAGTCGCACGTATTTGCAAGATCTAACAGCAGTGGATGCTTTGAGAGTGATAGAAGTTGAACTCAACTTCATCTACCAAGCTTTCTACACCAAGGAAACCACCATAAACAACTGGTTAGGTTTATTCTTTCGAGTTGTGTCCATTGTCTCAGTCGTAGCAGCCTTTGTTGTTTTCATTTATGACCAAAAGAAGGGCTGCGATCCCTTTGATATTAAAGTCACCTACATATTGTTGTATGGTGCTGTGGCCTTGGATGTAGTGTCTATTTTCATGCTCCTTCTCTCTGACCACTCATTTGCATCTATTTACTCTTGGGTCTCTCAGAAAGTCAGTGATTCTGATAGTGGCACTGGCACAGATACAAGAACATCCAAACTAGCCTCCATTTTCAGTTGGGTCCTCAAGCTTTACACACCTAAGTGGACACAAGACGAGATTAACAAGCCCGAATGGTTTAAAAATAAGAGATATAGTGTGTTGAAAAGACGCCTAGTGTTTCGTAGATGGTCTGAAACCATCTCCGGGTACAACTTGATATCATTTTGCCTACACAAGAAGAAAAAATGGTTGGATTGGGTGATCGATAAAATTGGAGCGAAAGAGTTTGTGGAACAATGGAAGTATGAGAAGAAGATGCCATTGCTTCAGAGACTTTGGATATTTATATTTACCGAGTTGAAAAGAAAATCTGGGGATGCGGATGATGTTGAAACTATTCAAAGAATATGCTCCTCCAGAGGTGAGTGGGTTATCCAGGAAGGTGAACTATCACGTGATGATCTGAACAAATTGATGCATTATGTGGAACGCAACGAAGTCACCTTTGATCAGTGCCTAATTCTGTGGCACATTGCCACTGACCTATTATTCTATGAAGAGGAAGATGAGATGCAAGAGAAGAAAGAGGGGGAAAACAAGAATGATGAGCAGAAAAAGAACAAAAATACTGCTCAAGATCTCGAGCAAGGAATTCATGGTGACGATGATGATGGTGCGAATAAAAGTGATTTTGAAGATATTGAGCTGAAACATTTTAGCAAGGTTTTGTCGGATTACATGCTGTACCTTTTGATCATGCAACCTACGATGATGTCTGCTATTAGGGGAATTGGGCAGATAAGGTTCCAAGACACATGTGCTGAGGCCACTAACTTCTTTAGCAAGAGGGAAATGATTGCTCCTGGAGAAAGAAAAATGAAACAGCCTTCTAGAACAAAAACCAGGAGCCCCACATTGAAGCTTAAAGAATTCATTCACTTCATCAAAAAGGTAAATAAATCCCCTCTTAAAATCCAACATTTTTATCAGATTATATCATTGAATTTATTTATCTTTCTTTATCACTCCTAATTTTTCTGTGTAGGTGTTAAGTAGCATTCGCTGTGGAGGAATCTTCTTCAAAAACCAAGGTAAGGATGATGAAGCAGGAAAAAGTGCAGAGCAGAAGGCATGCAACAAACTGACAGGTGTGCGTGTTGAAATTGAACCCTCAGCTGTGAAGGGAGATAGGAGCAAATCTTTGTTATTCGATGCCTGTAAACTGGCCACTGTCATAAAGGATTTAAAAGGGACGAACAAATGGAAACTGATGGCACAAGTATGGGTGGAAATATTATCATATGCAGCAACTAATTGCATACCTATCACCCATGTCCGGCAACTTAGTAAAGGTGGAGAATTCCTTTCCCTTATTTGGCTACTGATGACTCATTTAGGCCTAGCCAAACAGTTTCAAATCAAAGAAGGCCATGCAAGGGCAAAATTGGTCGTAACTGAAGACGATCAGGGCAACTAAAAAACACAGTAACTTCAGTGCAACTTCTTGCTTATAATACATTTTTCTAATTGAAGACTAGAAGATGAAAGTCTTAGTTCTTGCTTATAATACAGTAAATTTACTAATTTTGTATTATAAAAATTTTCTATTATATTGATTATTGGTAAAAATAAATTGCTTTTGTCTATGTTGTTAAGACTCTTTTATTTTAGTGTTAATGTGACTTTTAACTTTTACATGTCAACCTATATATATATAATTGTTTTTTTCTTAAATTACTTTTTGGTTTCTGATAATTTTACTAATGATGATTAGAAGTTTGACGTTGAGTGTAGAGCACACGCACGATAGTGTTCCAACCATCTTCGTATATGTATTTTATTTTTAAAAATTATTTCACCCGCATTACCAACAATATATCCACAATAATCCAAACACCAATTTTTTTTATCCATATAATACACATTTTCATAATAAAAATAAACAATGATAATTCAAGTAAAAGTGAACTTTACTTGGATAATGAGAAAACAAATATGGCAAGAAGAAGAGAGATAAAGGTGCGACCCAAAGAGCAATGAAAACGATGATGAGATCAATTATACAATTTTTAGAATCATTTATATAAATAGAACTTACAATGATGTTTCTGGAATAATAGACAATCATCGTAACTACATATGACAATAATTCAATTTAATAAAGAAAAATGTTAGCCCATTATTTTTAGTAACGGTATTTCAATAATGGTCATTGAAAGGTGTGGAAGTAGACATATTTTGCATAATGCTTCATAATTTTTTTTTTCTTCTTTTCTTGGTCCTGATATTTTTTTCGTTTTCTATTTGATATCTACCATTAATTAATGATGTTGATCTCAGGATTAATAATAACTATTTCAAAAAATATGTTGGCAAATCAATAGAAAAAAAATATCACGAAACACTAAAAACTTGAAAACAAAAGATTTAGATTGATTTTACAGTCACCAACAACAAATATCATTTAAAAGCTTGAACAACAATAGAATTTGGGTTATTAAATATTTGCTGGTGAATATTAGAGATTAAACCTAAATTTTAAATTCACTATATTATTTAATTCATGAAATTAAAACTGGTAAGAACACAAATTAAGATGTTTTATCTAAAGAGATTCACTTTGTGTTATGACATATTATTTTCTATGAATAATTCCTCGATTACGAAATGAAATTTAATTCCGATAGGTATTTCATTAAAATAAAGGTATAAATTATAATTTTGATGAGACTTGCCAACTAAAGAGAAAAGAAAAACATAAAACTTATAATTAATTTATAATATTGTTAAGTTTATCAAAAGACTAAAACATATCAATTCAATTCCCATATCAACACTGAGATAACTGAAATTAATGTTAGACGCTAATTACTAATTTCGAAGAAACAATTTTATTAGACACCTAAAAGTTAGAAATAAAGTTATGAGGAATAAAATTCAAAATGAATGAATTTATTAAGGACAAAAACTAATTTAGATCAAAATTTAAAAAAAAAACATGTAAATAGATAATAAATGATGGCATGGGAAATTAACGGTCACATCAACACTTAAATAACATACACCTAATCAAGGACCAAATGTAATAAAAAAAAAAAAAAAAAAAAAAAAAAAAAACCATAGAATTAAGCAAATTAAGAAATACATTAATATAAGAACATGAACACCATAGATAAACGAAAATCGTCCCACTACACAAGTTTAATAACTACCCCTCTCTTACAACTTCGGTAAGATAAGATGTCAACTAAAGAAAGTCAAAGCCACGTGTATGTTTTTCGTGTTTTTATAAATTTATAATTATTTTCTTTTGACTAAAAAGTTGTCAATTACATCATTTTAATTATACAAAATATTAGTAAAATAATAAATAAGTTTATAAATTGATGTAAAATAATAAAAATTAAAATTATATTACAATATAATAATAATAATGACAATTAAAATTAAATTAAAGGATAATTTAACTAATTAAAATTTATAAATAAGTTACTAAATTAATGTATTAGAAGTGTTTTTAATTAAATTTAAAAATTGACAAAATAAAGTATAAAATCAAAAATTACTTTAAAATAAAATAGTGTAGTAATTAAATTTAAAATTTCTGAAAACGATAACTTTGAAACTAAATTGAGAGTTGTAATTAGAATAAAAAAATAGATGAATTGATAATAAAATTAAGTAATATCGAAAGAAAATAAAAATTCAAAACCATTAAATAACAGAAATGAGTATCGAATGAATAAAGTAAACAAAATAATATAAATTGAAAACTTCAATAGAAATTGTAAATTAAATAAAAAAAAAAGAATAAACAAAAAGTACAATAGTAGTATATGAGTTTGCCTAACTAAAAACTGAGAAAAAAAAAATGAAGACGAGATAAAATAGTAGTTCGCCCGGAGTAGGAGATTGTAATTAGTCATCAGATCTCTATTTATAAGGAAATGAACAAAAGACATTAAGCTTAAAATTAATTACAATAAAATCAAATGTTTCCCAAATTAAAAATTGCCAGATTAGATTATTGTGACAAGAAATTTCTGAGACTGATTTGGAAAAAATAAAATGTTTCTTTCCTATTTTGAGTAATCCAACACGATTTACATTTAATTCTAGATTCTCGCTGGTCTTTAATTCAGCTAAATTGAATTTTTGCATCAATTAATTTGCTTGATTGAAAATTTTCATTTGTAATATTTCGCAAGTGGGTTGTGATGTATGTCATTTTACTCTTTATTTCTTGATCTAAGAGCATTTTTTAAGCTAATTATTTTATTCATAAACCATGCATTTAACATGTTTTCATTAAAAATATAACATAATTTAATTTTTCTTAATTGGTTGTAGTTTGCATAGTTTTATCACAATAAATAATATACATACATATATCCACAGCGCATATATTTTTTTTTTCTTCTTTTGTAGGGGAGGTAATTTGAAATGAGCCAAATTGATGGAAAAAAAATGTTAAAATTAATGTCGTTAAACTTAACTCTTCTTGAAAATCCAAGTTTGCTTATGCAGCTCACTTGCAAAACGTTACAAATAAAAATTTTAATCAAGCAAATTAACTAATAAGAATCTACTTTAGTTGAATTAAAGGCCAACAAGAATCAATAATTAAATGCAAATCAATGTTGATTACTCAAAATAAGAAAGAAGCATATTATTTTCTCCAAATCAATCCTAAAAATTTCTCTTCATAACAATCCAATTTTGCAATTATTTATTTCGGAAACATTTGATTCTATTATAATTAATTTTAGGCTTAATTTCTCATGTTCAATCTCCTATAAATAGAAGTCTTATGACAACACAATAACAATCTCATTATTTTACTCTTTATTTTCTTTATCTAAGAGCATTTTCTAAGTTAATTATTTTATTCATAAACCATACATTTAACATATTTTCAATAAAAGCATAGCATAATTCGATTTTTCTTAATTTGTTGCATTTTGCATAATTTTAGCATAATAAATATAGATGCATATATGCATAGTGCATATTTTTTTTTTCTTCTTTTGCAGGAGAGGTAATTTGAGATGGACCAAATTGATGAAAAAAAATGTCCAAATTGATATCGTCAAGTTTCACTCTTCTCAGACGCCCAAATTTGTTTGTGGAACCCACTTGTAGAACGTTATAAATAGAAAAATATAGAATCAAATAAATTAATTGGTGCGGGAATTCAATTTAACTGAATTAAAGACCAACAGGAATCAAGAATTAAATGTAAATCAGTGTTGAATCACTCAAAATAGGAAAGAAACATATTATTTTTTTCTAAATTAGTTCTAGAAATTTCTCTTCACACCAATCCAATTTTGAAGTTTTTTATTTGGAAATCATTTGATTTTATTGTAATTAACTTTCGGCTTAATTTCTCTTTTTCAAATCCCTATAAATAGAAGTCTCATGATAACACAATCATAATTTCTTGCTTCGAGATGAGTTGTTGTTTAGTATCGTCCCCGTTTCACTACAAGAAAAAACACATTTAGCCACTGAAATTAGCGACCGAATTTTTTCGGTCGCAATTAGCGACCGCTTTAGCGATCGATTTAATTTTGGTCGCAATTAGCGACCGATTTAGAGACCACTTTAATTCGGTCGCAATTAGCGACCGATTCAGCGACCACTTTAATTTGGTCGCAATTAGCGACCGATTTAGTGACAAAAATATGATTTATTTTGCACTTTTTTATTTAGCAACCGAAATAGCGACCAATATTTTGCGACGCAAAATATTGGTCGCTAAATCGGTGGCTATTTCATACTAAAATAAAAAAATCATTTAGCGACTGATTTAGCGATCGAATTACAAATTGAAATAGTGATCGAATTAAATTCGGTGGCTAATGAAAAAATAGCGACCGAATTGAAATCGGTCGCTAATGAATATTATTTTTTTATTATATTAATTTTTTTTATAAATATACTTTAATTGTTTTAGTATATTTTTTACAATTTATTTTTTAAAAGTAATTTATTTTTTAAAAATATTTTAATTTTTAAAATATACTTTAAAAATAAACTTTGGTCTCAATATTAACAAAATGAATTGTAATAAATCAAATTTATTAAAAATTTAAATTGTAATAAATTAAGACTAGAGTGATGTTAACTATTCAATAATTGTTTAAGAAAAGTTTAATAACAAATATTCTTGAATTTATTTTTCAATTGAAAATTTCAATTGAAATTAAATTATATTTTAAAAATTTATATTAAAAAATTGAAGAAAATAGAGATTTAATTATACTTTTAATAAATTTAACATAATAATAGTTTTGATTTTGATTTTTTAAATATTTATTTTAATTTTTTAAAACAGAGAAACTATAATTTTAGTTTCTAAATACTAAATTTAAAGAATTAAATTTATTATTATTTAATCTTTTAATTTTAGTATTAAAAATTTAAATGATATTTTATTAAATTAAAATAATATTACAATATATTTTTCTACTT